AGGATCCGGAAGGCGGAAGAATCTACTCGGCTACGAAAAATCCCTGCAGTGGGAGGCTCTGGCCAGGCGGTGGCAGTGTGGCGATACGACATACGGGTCCTGAAGCCCCAACGTCATCAAGCCGGTCGACGCAGCCGTTCGGGACATGACTGAGCCAAGCCAGAAACGTTTCCACCGTGCAGTTACGGCGTGTGCAATTAAAATGAGTTATATGTTGTCTTCCCTATCCCCTATGAAACATTGTTAGTCCCCTGTCTAAAGAGTAACTGTAGATCACTTTGAGCCCACTTGTGGGGAAAGCGATTAATAAATCAAAAGCATTATTATATTATTATTATTATTAATATAGGACAGATGGACTCAGTTCTAGTTGTATCCGAAGAAGTGAGCAGTGACCCATGAAAGCTCATCCCCTGCCAGTTTGGTGTAGTGAAGTGCGTGGACACTAATCTGGGAGAACTGGGTTTGATTCCCACTCCTCCACTTGCACCTGGCTGGATGACCTTGGGCAAGCTCTAGTTCTGATAAGAGCTGTTCTTGAAAAAGAGCAGTTTTCGAAAGAGCTCTCTCAGCCCCACCTACCTCACAGGGTGTCTGTTGTGTGGAGGGGAAGGGAAAGGAGTTTGTAAGCTGCTCTGAGACACCTTTGGGTAGTAAAGGGCGGGGTATAAATCCGATCTCCTCTCCTCCTCCTCTTTAAGGTGCGGCTGGACTCTTGCTCTTTTCAGCTGCTACAGACAAACTAACATGGCCACCCATCTTGCTCTAACCCCATTACAGAAGCATTGATCTAAGATGCTGAAGGTGTACACACAAAGTGTGAATGCAGCCAACACACAATACAGGGACATTCTCTGGAGAGCAATGAAAGGGCTGCAGTTCCCCTGCTGAGTGCTAACCCAAGAGCAAATTTAGGGTTTGCCTTTCGCAATGCCTGAAATGGCCCTGGCATTGCATATGGCAGAGGTAACCAGTCCAGCTCTATTTTGCTCCGTACCAGTTTAATTTTTTTGTTTTAAAGCATCACACACACACACACACAAAACTACCATCTGATGAGGGGAGCTTTGACTCTCAAAAGCTCATACCCTGAAAATCTTGTTGGTCTCTATGGGCGCTAACAAAACTACTGCTGCTGATGGGCCTGCCCAGATGGGAGCACATCCGACCTGCGCTGAAGGTGCTGCACTGGCTGCCAATAGCATACCGAATTTGCTTCAAGGTGCTGGTGCTTACCCTTAAAGCCCTATATGGCCAGGGTCTGACATACCTGAGGGACCGTCTTTCCCCATATATACCCCAGAGAGCACTGTGGTCGGGGTCACAGAACCGACTGACCCCCCATGGGCCCCAAAGATGCCAAGCTCGCCACTACCAGGGCCAGGGCCTTGTCAGTGGTGGCTCCTTGCTGGTGAATGAGCTCCCGGAAGAGATCAGGGCCCTGTGGGACCTCTTACAGTTCCACAGGGCCTGCAAGACAGAGCTATTCCAGTAGGCTTTCGACTAGGAGCCGCCCTGATCATTACCATCAACAACCCGGCCCTTAGACTAACATCTGGCCTAGACCATCGTGCGACTCAAGAAGGCCATCAGCTAGATTGCCTGCTTGCAACACTCTTAGTACACCATCTTAATTAACTAATGATGGACAATTAGCACCTATGATTTTATGACTCCTTTGTATCTGAATTGTTTCAATGTGATTTTATGTGGTTTTATTGGTATTTTGTACTGACTGTGTGAGCCGCCCTGAGCCTGTTTGCAGGGAAGGTGGGGTACAAATTGAATAAATACATAAATAAATAAATATCAAACTCCACTGTATCCTATAGGAGGTGGTCAGCATTACCGGTACGTAGCATTAACCTGCACGCATCTGAATCCTCATTCAGGGGTTTTATAGTTTTGTGGGTTACACAATGACGGAATCGCTCTGCATACAACAAAAAGCCAGGCCGACTTTCACGGACCCCGATATATGCTCAGTTTCATGCTCGCCACTGTTGGTTGGGCATCCCACTGCTCTGGCCAGCAGCAAGGACTGCCAAGATACAAGAGTTCAGATAGTAGCAAGTTGCCTCCACACCTAGTAAGAATTAACAACTCGTTTCCTCAACAATAATAGTTTTGCTGACTGCCCAGACCCCTTTTGTGCTCCCCACCCCCATCCTTTCTCTCAGCCTGGCATGTGCAGGGGGCTTGGAAGAGAGGGAGAGAGTGTTCTTATTTGTGGTGCCCTGACCTGGATAGCCCAGGCTAGCATGATCTCATCCAGTCTCAGAAGCTAAGCAGCATCAGCCCTGGTTAGTATTCGGATGGGAGACCAACAAGGAAGTCCAGGGTCGCTTTTCAGAGGCAGGGAAGGGCAAACCACCTCTGACCGTCTCTTGCTTTGAAAACTCTACAGGGTCGCCATAAGATGGTTGTATTGCATCCAGTTTTGGGGACCAAAATTTAAGAAGGATATAGACAAGCTGGAACGGGTCCAGAGGAGGGCGAGGATGGTGAGGGGTCTGGAGACCCAGTCCTGTGAGGAAAGGCTGAAGGAGCTCAGCATGTTCAGCCTGGAGAGGAGACGACTGAGAGGTGATATAATCATCTTCAAGTACTTGAAGGGTTGTCATATAGAGGATGGTGCAGAGTTGTTTTCTGTTGCCCCAGAAAGTCGGACCTTTAGGAAGAACTTCCTGACAGAGTGGTTCCTCAGTGGAACAGGCTGCCTCGGGAGGTGGTGGGCTCTCCTTCTTTGGAGGTTTTCAGAGGCTAGATGGCTATCTGACGGCAATGCGGATTCTGTGAACTTAGGCAGATCACAAGAAGGGAGGGCAGGAAGGGCTGCATCAGTGCTTAGTTCTTGTGGTCCTTTTTTACACGCCCAGGGAAATGCTGATCGCCGCTTTGGGGTCAGGCAGTTATTTTTCTCCAGGCCGTTGGAGGCTTTTTGTCATCTTCTTGGGCATGGAGCAGGGGTCACTGGGTGTGTGTCTTGGAGACTCAGTATTTGTGAATGTCCTGCATTGCGCAGGGGTTTGGACTAGATGACCCTGGAGGCCCCTTCCAACTCTATGATTCTATGTGACTTGATGACCAAAAAAAAAAAAAGCTAAGAAAGAAAGTGTGCAGGAGATTCCTGTTTATCTTCTCCAAACCCCAGGGCAAGAGAGAGGAGAACCAAGCTCTCTCCCAGGAATCCACCTCCCCCCCAATATCTGTGAGCCTGCCAGAGGGAGGAGGTGGGGTTTATTTTCATTCGCACTGCAGTTTGGAGAAAGGAAGACATAGCAGGAGTCTGCCTTTTCCAAATCACAGCACGCAAGAGAGCTCAGGGGACAGGACATGTGCCGCTGAGCCTCCTTGTAATCTGACAGCCAGGAGCCCTGGGTTAAAGAAAGCGGACTGACTGACGCCTGACTGACATGCTTCATGAACGGTAACCAGTGGAAGCAATGTAATGCTGCCCAATTGCCCAACTGTGGTTAGGTTATCTAGGACCCCGCTCAGGCTTCTGCTCTCTTCCCTGCCGCTTCTTCCCTCTTTCCCAAGCACACTCCCATTTCCCTTTTAGTTCCAGAGCTCACGTACTGAGCCGGTGCTACTCTAGTTACAGAATTAGACTGGGATGGCCCAAGTTCAAATCCTCACTCTATCATGAAGCTTGCTGGACAACCATGGGACTAACATACCCCACAGGATTATTGTAAGAACTAAATATGGGAGGAGAGTCATGTAAGTTGCTTGGAAGAAAAGCAAGAATAAAATAAACCAATTGATCTATGGGATAGATATTCCGGCAGTGCCCTTTAATGCTAACCACAGGCTTCAATTCAATGGCTCCTTTCCATTTGCGGTGGGATCTTCTACAACCCCAATTATTCTTTCCATTCACAGAAGTGGTCTTCCTGTTCTGTTCATGACTCATTCTGTTCATGAAACAGAGAGTTAAAAACACCATATTTTGGTCCAACCCAGCAACAGCCCAAAGTACCATTTACAAACCTGCTTCTAACTAAGCTTGCAAACCATGGCTTGGTGCTAACCCCTGGCTAGCTTTAAGCTCAGGCAATGGCATATGTGAGAAAAGTGTATGTGAGTCTGCAGAACACTCATGACTATGGGTAGAAGATCAGGGAATATTTTGTCTGCACTAGATCTTTGTGAATTTCATATTTTCCAAACCTGTGCAAATCTCATATTCTCCTGGCAAGGTTATGTAACCAGAAGCACAATGTACACACCTGAAGAAGTCAGCCACCAAGAGAAATCAAAGAACATAACCCGTACCTTTCATTTTCTGCCAAAACTGCTCCTTCTTCCTTCAGCTGTTTACTTTTTTCCAAACAGTCTTCAAGGAGAAGTCCCTTCTTCTTCTTTGCCTCAGGAAGCCAGTCAGCCTCATCACCATCAAGGCCCTGCTCATCTGCAGCCTGAGCTTCAAACTGCTGGGACGTTACCTTTGATACTTTCTCCCCAATCTTCCTCTTCCACCCAAAGGAAGCCATTTCTCAGAGCTGAAAAGAGTCCATGTTACTTTTTTACACTCAACTTAAAAAGACAACTGAAGTTAGTTCAAGTTACCAGGAAAAGGCAATCCACTGAAAAAGGACTTAATTTCTACAAAGAAACTCTGATATACAATTTCTACAAAGAAATTCTGGCAGTGATATACAATTTCTGCACACACATGCACAAATGCAATCATCTACCTAGTCTTGGTCTAGGCTTGTGGATCTTTCATCTCCTAAGACGTAACCATTGGATGTAGGCAATGGAGAAACACTCATAAGTTGCTTTCCCCATTGAATCATTTAACTGTAAGCTTCTAGGAACAGCGACATAGTATTGCTTATATGAAAGGTGCTAGATGTTTGTGTTTGTGTGTGTGTGTGTGTGTGTGTGCGCTCCTACACACACACAGAGAAAGTCAGTGATCCCCAATGTAGCACCCATCCTTGTGTCCTTTTGCTTATTTTAAGCATCTCTCCCAAGAGCCAATCCTGGCTTTCCTCCACTTCTTTGGACTAGGAAGTGGTTCAGGAGAACCTATGAGGCATCACCTTTGTGCCTACAGCAACTGCCCATCCAAAAACAGCTGCCTCCATCACAGACTACCCATCTTGATCTAATATTATCTGTTACTATGTTAAATTGTTTTAATAGCTAACTACGATTTGTTTTTTAACTTCTTGTTAGCCACCCTGAGCCCTGCAGTGCAGGGGAGAGCAGGTCAGAAGTCTTATAAAATAAACAATAATAATAAATAGCCATATTGGTCTGAACCAGCAGAACAAAGTTTGAGTCCAGTGGCACCTTTAAGACCAACAAAGTTTTATTCAAAGTATAAGCTTTCGTGTGCAAACTTTGTTGGTCTTAAAGGTGCCACTAAACTCAGACTTTGCCCTATTATGACAGTCACTTTGTCTATCTGCTTTCCTTAATTCTTTTGCTGATCTGGTGGGCAATAACTTTCTTTTGGACATACTATTTCCACCCATAGCATTTCTGTAAGTGAATCTATTTCTCTTAGATTCTCAGTCTGTACACCCTCTCTGACATAAAGAGCCATTCCACCTCCAGCCCTCACCCCCCCTTCTGATATAATTCATATCCAGGAATCCCTGTATCCCACTGAGAAATGAGTCATTACCTGAAGCCTCCTCTCCAGTACTGCCTTTATTCAGCCCGGTCACCTCTGGACTACGCCCCGCCTCCTCCGGAAATAAAGCCAGCCGAAACAGCTGGGTCTGAGAGCTTGGGGAAAGAGACCATAGAGATGGCGCAACTCTAGAGAGTTCTCATAAAAACTTCCGGTCTACACCCGGATGGGGGTGTTCCTAGGCACAATATACAAGGCTGTCGCTATAGAGACGCCGTGGTCTAGAGCGACGCCACTGTGAGCTCGTAAACAGAGCCAACGGCGGTTTCCGGAAGTCCAGGTAGAATGACGCTTTTTCTGCGGAGTCCACGGCTTTTTGAGGCAGACACTACAACTCCCAGCATGGTGCGGGAGCCTCACGACTCGGCCTTTAGCTGTGCTCTACCGAAGAGCATTCTGGGTGATGTAGTACGATCGGTGCCGTTGCGTTAAATCCTGTTGTTATTGGTGGTCTTTGCTTTTATGGCACGTTTTAAAATATTATTTTCCTCTTTTCTGAGTTTAGATGAGTTTTGTATATTTCAGTGTTACTTTGCTTTCATAGTCGTAATTGCTGCTTGTTTCCCCGCTGTATCTAACGCTGTATCTAACGGTTGCCATTAAAAAGGGTCTGTCAAGATGGGTAGCCGTGTTTGTCTGTAGCAGTAGAAAGGCGCAGTAACAGTCTAAAGACTAACAAAATTTGTGGCAGGGGATGCGCTTTCGTGAGTCACTGCTCACTTCTTCAGATTCAGCCATCTAGACATTTTACAAACCCATTTCCTCAGACCCCACAAATGGCCAGAAATAGTTGAATAAAATTGCAACCGAATAACCACGTGCGTGCAAGCAAAACCTGGGACTCCCCACATATTGGCACTGTTAATTTGTAAATGTATTTTTCTTGACTTGATTTATACATAGTTACATTTCACCCCGGTACTTCCCACAGTTCATGATGCCTTGATCCCACATCCTACATAAAACGTTCACATGGTGAAGATCCAGGGGTCATTTCCTAGAAAAAGAGCTGCAGGAGCTCATTAGCATAACTTATTAGCATATGCCACACCCCCTGACATCACCGGAAGTGTGCACCAGCCCCTCTGACAGGCAGAAGCACCTGGGATCCATTCTTTCCCCCCTCTCCCTTCCCTTCGCCTCCAAGTCTGGCAAAGGAAAAGGGGAGGGGGAGGATCTCAGGCACTTCTGCCTCACAGAGGTGCTGGCATGCCCACAGACAGCCTGGGTGAATTATAGAATCATAGACTCATAGAGTGGGAAGGCACCTCCAGGGTCATCTAGTCCAACCCCCTGCACAATGCAGGAAATTCACCAATACCCCCCACACCCAGAATATGATAAAATGTGACCCCTGTTCCACGCCCAGAATATGATTTTTTTAAAAAAAAACACCTCCAGGATCACTGGGGCCCAAACTGGCCTGGAGAAAAATTGCTTCCTGGCCCCAAAGTGGCGATCAGCATTTCCCTGGGTGTGTAAGAAAGGGCCACAAGAACTAAGCACTGATGCAACCCTTCCTGCTCTACCTCTAGTGATTTGCCTAAGTTCACACAATCAGCATTATGATCCTTTTAAAGTTGAAAGGATGATATCAATGCAAAGGTCTATTTGTAAGATTGTCTGTAAGACACAAGACCAGGACGCATCTCACTTCTGGCAATCACTTGGAGAGACCCTATCACTCAGCTTCCATTGCCCCCCACACACCCCACACTGGAATAAGAACATAATATCAGGCCATACCACATTGCAACAACAACAATAATAATACTTTCAATTTATTAATCGCTTTCCCCAGTGGGCTCAAAGCGATGTATAGTTACACATTTTAGACAGGGGACTAACAATGTTCATAGGGGATAGGGAAGACAACATATATTCATTTTAATTGCACACGCTGTCACTGCACGGTGTAAACGTCTTCTGGCTTGGCTCAGATTTTCCGAATGGCTGCTTGTCAACGAGGCTTCAGGACCCGTATGTCAAATCGCCACACTGCCACCGCCTGAATGGCTGCTTGTCAACGAGGCTTCAGGACCCGTATGTCAAATCGCCACACTGCCCCCGCCTGGCCGGAAACATCCACTGCAGGGATTTTTTGTAGCCGAGAAGTTCTTCCGCCTTTTCTGAACCTCGACCAGGACATCCCGACCGTCAGCTAACACCCTCCCACAAGGGAGATTGGTGTGCCCACCCTCTCTAAGAAGTGGTTCCCATTTTATCTGCTCGCCAAAGCTTTCGAATCGCTGGGTGGACGATGAGCTGGGGACAACAGGCTGGCTGCTCACACCAGCGCAGGGCTAGAACTAACACAGTTCGGATGTTAAGACAGTGGGATATACCCACTGTGCCACCGCTCCCCACTGTATACAGAAATACTGAGCTTTCCTACCATTTGCCACAACTAGCCCACCACACAACCAGGATCAAGACTCCTAAGTGGACCAACAGACAGGCATACACTCA